ATAGGTCCTTCAAACTGTTTGCCTTCTTTCCCATTGGCCAAATTGAACCCAGCAATGAGGGAACACCAATCGGGCATTTTGGCTATCCAAACAACCCCACAACACGTTGATCTCACCACAACATGTGCCCTCTGTGAGGAGGACACATAAGGAACATTCATATTTATCTACATGCAGACATCACTGAAGGCATTTAGAGTGAAGGCAACGCTTCTTAGATTGACCACATAGAGTATCCTAGCCAATCAGCAATTGATGAAGTCACAGAAGGCAAATAAATCTTATTGAGAGCCATACTTTGAGGATTAATTACTTTTTTGGTCCCTTTCAAGGTGATCCCTTCCCTTTCATAAGTGAACAGTGGATGCTTTTCATCTCTGGCTCTAATGTTAATGTAGATTTTCCCCTCCACCATTAGGTGTCCACTGAATACCATTTGTCATAATAGAAGCATCAGGTCCTGTTCTAAACCCCGAGGAGCTCAGCCCCAAATGATTGCCACCCCCCCCCCCCGGCCTGTGTAGGTTGACTGAGAGATACATCCCATTCCATTTAATGGGGCTTAAGTGTGTAGAGGATCACAGCCTTGCAGCACAATCGTATGCATGTCAACTCAGCGGTAAGTCCCACTGAGAGCAGTAGGATTTTCTCCCATGCGTATCATTGCAGTCTTAGTCTTAGAAACTGGAATAATGTTCCGTACGTACAAAAGCCATAACGCTCTGATGAGACGCAAGTTTCTCAACAATGCCTAACAGAAAACTGAACTCATGGGTATCTGTGGTGATGGCAATCTCCTTACTTAGCTGTCAACAGCCTGAAACCGTGCAATATGGGAACCAGATGCTTGCGTGAGAAAACTTTTGATTTGAATATAATATGTTGCAATAACTGAGACTATAATTATATTTTGTTGTAATTAAAGTATTTTTTTTGTCCCTCTGTCATCGATTTCTACTTTTTCCACAAGCATAATAATTCAAAAGCATATTGGTTCAGGTATTGATGGCTGTCCCAGACAATGGATGTTAAGTTATTTGATGGGAGGTGGGAAAGAGGATTTAAATCACCCACTAAGGCTGGACTTCCAATAAAATAATCTACAGGCAGCCTAGTTTTCCCATGGCTGAAGCTGTTGACCATCCAAGCCAGTGCAGTTTGCTTATGTACCTCTTTGTTCTTGCTTAGCATTGCACTTTTAGAGTGAGTGAAGTGAGAGTGCAAACTTTCTCAGTATTTTCACAATGATCCTGTAAGGTAAATCAGCATTATTTTCTCTATATTGTGGCTCAGCAGAGACAGAGAAGTCAGCATCTCTGGTTAAGGCTGGAACTAAATAACGTAGCAGTTATTGGGCAGATCCACACCACATTTTCATTACATATTCAAAGCATATGACTTCCCTGAAAGCATCCTGGGAAGTGTAGCAGGGCCACAATCCCCAGCACCCTTAGCAAACTACAATGCCCAGGATTCTTTGGGTAAAGCCATGTGCTCTACATTTGGGTATGGTGTGGGTCCACCCATCATGGCTACTGGTCCTAAGTAGCAGTTCTGAAGCTTATCCCATCCTTTGTGGCCCTCCAGATCTTGCCAGGGATGATGGGAGCTGGAATTCTACAATATCTGAGGGCCTCTCTTGCCCTATAGCAGTGATGGCCAAACTTGGCCCTCCAGCTGTTTTGGGACTACAACTCCCATCATACCTAGCTAACAGGACCAGTGGTCAGAGATGATGGGAATTGTAGTCCCAAAACAGCTGGAGGGCCAAGTTTGACCATCACTGCCTGATAGCATCTAGCAGTACAGGAGGTCATCCTGCTCATAGTTCCTCAATCCTCAATCCACTTCACAAAGTGCAGTGTTTGCAGGGCTGGGAATTGGTGTCATGGCATGATATTTTGGATCACAAAAGAAGGTGCGTGGCCGATGTTCTCAGAAGCAGCCCTGCACCCGCTGAACCTCTAGCTCACGGCAGAGGTGAGATTTGAACCACAGCCTCTATAGCAAAACATTTGGCACACAGTAAATGCTGTAAGAACGATGCTCCGCATTACATGTCAAAGCTGCCGAAGAGGAACACTAATTTCATTCCTGCGGCTTCTCCTTCTGCACAAACGCTTGCCGCTTTTTCGAGTAAGTAAACAAACATAGGAGCATATCCTCTGATCAGCTTTGGCAGGCCTTGGTCCTCCTTGGGCTGTGGTTAGTGACGCGCAGGGATAAATTGCAGGTTCTGTTTACGGTTTTGCAGAAGAGTCTGCCTGTTTCTGATAAGCTTCTCTCCCAGGCTTATCATTATGGGCTATCGCTACGGAGCAGCATATTTTAATTACTATAAAAGGTAAACTGCTATTCTGAGCTCCTTTGCCTCCCTAGCGATCCCCGTGGGATCTGTGGGTGCCCCAGTCTTTTGGCAGCAACTCTACCTATTTAAGTCCCCCAGGGCAGATTTATAGGTCTGGCTTTTGGAATGACGGTCTCGAAGGAATCTCTGCCTGTCCGCCTTCCTCTTTAATTGCTCTTTGTAGTTGCACCCCTGGTCACTATACATGTACCATTCCTGCTGGGCTTGGTGTATATCAAACTCACTTGAAAGACTTCAGCGCTTGAAAGGTACTCCCCAGTAGCAAATAAGCGTCAGAATGTGGTGTTTGTGCTGCGCTGTGTTTAGACTGACCGCGGTTTGCCTTGGCTGGGTGCCACCCGGCCTTGCTCCAGGCTTTCCTCCGCACACACGGGGAGCTGTGTGGGCTTCAAGCGTGTCCTTTGTGTGCCTCGGAATTCAGAGTCATCTGACAAAATACGTTCCGTTACAGGTAGCCTCTGGGGACCAAAGCAGTAAATTGGAATATTAAATGCCTTCCTGCAAATGATACGAGTGTTAAATGACTTGGAAACGCTGCCATATGATATTTAAGATGGATCCCGTGATCTGAAGTGGGAATTAGGTCTGCTGAACAAATAAGCGTGTTTTTATTGTTTAAGTCCCTGCAAATAAATCTGAATTATACAGAGTCTTCTGTTTCTGTTGGAAATAGGCATGCGTATAGCAGTTTGAGGGTTTGCCCGGAAAAGTGTTGACCAACCCGGTGTCTAAACCAACATCATTTATTGTACAATATTGAAATGCTGTGCTTTTAAGAGCAATTTAAAAAGGACAAATATGGTCCGTGCCTGAGGTGGTTTCCCCCTATCCGTATCGTGGGCTGTGTAGCTTCTAGCTTACCCACAAAATTGCTCCCCAAAGTTAATGACATTACCACAATGACATGGTGGAGCATGGTTAGGATATTTCCTAAGTATCATGTGAAAATAATAATAATAATCTAAGAGCATTTGAAATATTTATCTTGAGATAGTTGCATGAGACACTGCGCTGCTCAGGAGGCTAAGCAAGGATAGGAGGCGTTCTGATTATTGCTGTGGAACTGTTTGCGGGATCCGCCCATGATGTCTGCTGTAATGAGTGTGCTATCAAGGAGCAACAAACTTTTGACCAGCTGCCAATGCTCAGGCTCTCTGTGTTCCGGGAGCCTCAGCCACATCTGGCCACAGAGATAAATGGAGGAGACGTTTCCCCAGAACCCTCTTGTGCATCAGCTGTTTGGGCCTCCCACCTGACACAGACAGAGAGAGAGTACATCACAAACTATTGCTCTTTGGAGCATTGTGGGTCGGAAACGTTTGTTTGGGGACAGGAAATTGTGCTTTAAACAAGAATATTGTGTAACTTCTTCGGAGCTGTGCTGCTGGCAAGGAAGCGTTTTTCAGAACAATCTCTAAAATTTTCTTCATGCAAACAATTTAATAGGGATTATATAAAGTCCTAGTAGTTTAAAAAGGTAAAGGTAAGGGGACCCCTGACCATTAAGTCCAGTCGCAAACGACTCTGGGGTTGCGGTGCTCATCTCACTTTATTGACTGAGGGAGCCGGCATTTGTCTGCAGACAGTTTTTCCAGGTCATGTGGCCAGCATAACTAAGCTGCTTCTGGTGAACCAGAGCAGTGCACGGAAACGCCATTTACCTTCCCTCCGGAGTGGTACCTATTTATCTCCTTGAACTTTGACATGCTTTCAAACTGCTACGTTGGCAGGAGTTCAGACCAAGCAACGGGAGCTCACCCTGTTGTGGGGATTCGAACCACTGACCTTCCGATCGGCAAGCCCTAGGCTCTGTGGTTTAGACCACAGCGCCACCCGCGTCCCACCTAGTAGTTTAGAAAAGTACAAAACAATGTTATGGTGTCAAATGCTTGTGAGGTGCTTTCCCTGGCTCCCTACACAGAATTTAAAAGAATAATCAAATCTCACTGATTAACAGTGGAAACCTATAAATGTATACTCGGCTATAGGTCCCTTTGACTTTAATTAGATTTGTGTCTAAGTGTCTGCAGGATGTGGCCTTATACAATATAGTGCAATCTTAAACCCCAATGGTGATGGGTGGAGGAGATTGGCATTGCATATACTTGTCTCTCCAGTGATCTCTGCTGGCAGAAAAAAGCACCAACAGTTATGGGGGTTCTGTCCAGCTTTGCCCAAGGCAGACAGAAAGCTACTGCTGCTGGTTTTTCCATCACTGGTAGCAAGCAGAAAATCCTGAAATGGGGCATTTGGGGGCAGGGTGGGCGCAGTTTAGGATCTTTGGGATCCAAACCCTGCAGCTCTCCTAAGAGGCATGATTCTTGGCCGCTTTACAACAGCAGCCTGAAGCTAGAGCAATAAGAAGTTATGAGACTTCCCCACTCCGAACACACATGGAGACCTCTTTCAAATATACTGTATTTTTCGCTGTATAAGATGCACCCGACCATAAGACGCACCTAGTTTTTAAAGGAGGAATCTAATATTGTTGAAGAGGAAGGAGGAGGGAGGATCAGGCTAAGGAGCCTTTGGTCCATCCGCCTCTTTGGGGAAGCTGGATCTGCTGGCCGCTTAGCAGCGTTGTCCCTGCTGGGGGGATCGGAGGAGGCAGGTGAGACGAAGCGACACTCTTCAGCGAAGCAAGAGGAGGAAAGGAAGGGAGCCCTTACGGAGCCCCTTCCTTTCCTCCTCCCGCTTTACTGAAGAGGCGCTGCGCTGCTCTGCTGAAGCCAGCAGAGCAAGAGGGAGAGCTGTGCAGTGCCTCTTGGTCTGCTGGCTTCCCAGCAAAGCAGAATGAGGGACAGAAGGGGCTCCGTAAGAGCTCCCTTCCTTCCCTCATCATGCATCACTGTGAAGGCTGCGCAGCTCTCCCTCTTGCTCTGCTGGCTTCAGCAATAGCTGCGCAGCTTGCATTCACTCCATAAGACGCACACACATTTCCCCTTACTTTTTAGGAGGAAAAAAGTGTGTCTTATAGAGCGAAAAATATGGTATGTGGTCGTAGATTTGATGCCTTTCTCATCCTCTGAATCCTATTTCTGATTACACTGTTAATGTGCTTCTAGTTTCAGTCGAAGGTTTAAAGCAGTTAAAAGACTCCAATATGTGAGATTGCTGTAAAAAATGTAGATTAATTGTTTATTTGGCATGGATTAGGTTTCTCTAAGTAGTCAGCTTAGATGTTCTTCCAAGTGGTCGTCCTGGGAGAATACTAATGGATGATTCCCATGATACTGGACATTAGCTAATACCAATGGACATTATCCTACTGAATAATCAGTTATCACTGCACTGCTATTAAATCCTTTTAAAGAATCAAGCTAAAGAATGGTCTTGTATGTTTTGACATTTGGAAAGGCCTGTTTCTGATCTGAGCATTGTAAAAAAAAAAAAATCTTAATAAGAGCTTTTGAAGCATTAACATCACCCCAGTAGTGAGCTAGAGAGGTGAGGTCAGTGTAATCTGTATTTTCCTCCAAATATGGCTTATGGAAAATTACTGGGATTAGATTTCAAGAACAGATTCACTGTGCTGCCTCAAACAAGAGATTTTGTTTCACCTGCATTGGGGGTGGGGATTGTGAGGATAAAAATGAAGGACCCCATTCATGTTCGCTGAGGGTTCCTCAAACATGTACCGCTTGAAGCACGATAAATTCTGATAGGCAAGTAAAAAGAGGGTCCTGAAGTCAGCTGCATTTGTGAGCACCTTGTGGGACACGACCCTGAGAAGAACAGGAAGAATGGGTCACATCCTGCGTGCTGCTTTGCATGAGTTACATGGCCAGTTGCAAAGTGGGGGGAAGAGTATCTGCTCAGCTTAATGTGAATGCCTTTCTGCATGGAGATCTGTGCCTGCAAGGAGGGAGTTCTGGAAATGATTTTTTTACCCCAACCTTTCTTTGAGTTCCTTGAAGGAAGAACAGGAATGCAGATATGCAAAACAACAACACCACCAAAACCCTTACATATATCAATTGTGAAATCTTCCGATACTAAAACACCTGTTCTAAATTGATTGCAGATATATTGGCCAGCAACAAAGGACAAGGTGGATTTATGCAAACTAGCTGGGAAAGATGCACAGGTAAGTACAGTACATGCAGATGGAAACTGCCTTCAGTTGTGTGCGCACTGTTTAAAATCTGTTTGTTGGTTTCTGCTTCAGTCTTATCCCCAGTTACCTTGGAGTAAACCCCACTGAATGCAATGTGAGGCATTGTTTGGAAGAGAAAGGTGGTGGAGTCACATTCTTTAATGCCAACACTCCCTGTGGGACAATCCTACATTCTGACGCCATGACCTTCAAACAGAGACGCATCGAGAAGATGAGTGACTCAGTGGGTCACCAGTTGTATTTCCGTTGGTGAAAGTGGCAGCATAGATCAGGCATAGGCAAACTCTGGCTCTCCAGATGTTTGGGACTACAGTTCCCATCATCCCTAGCTAACAGGACCAGTGGTCAGGGATGATGGGAATTGTAGTCCTGAACATCTGGAGGGCTGGAGTTTGCCTATGCCTGGCATAGATGATAATTCTAAAAAAGGAATCAAGTAAAAGGTCACCAATTGTTTATCACCCTCTGGGATCTATATAGATATATATACCTCACTCCAAAATGGTTTCTTTTTTTCATCCTCCCTTTTACCCCAGTGCCTCCTTCAATTATTATTTTTTGATAAAGGCAGGGGGGACGGGACCCCAAGCCTCAGCTCCGCTCTAGTTCCTTAGTCATGTTCAAGTGTGATGGGATGTTAAGAAAGTGAGGCCAACTGATACAGAGTGATTGATGCACAAGAGTCAAGCCTTGGTAAGGCAGGGTTTCCTTCCATTCTCTTTTTTGAATGTGTATTTCATAATAGATGCTCTGATCCATCACAACAAGGCATAATAAAGGCGCTTCAAGGACAAGGTTCACTGAAGTGGAACTGTGGCAATGCTCCCTATTGAAGGGGGAGTATTCGTTACAGAACGGAGCTTGTAGGTTTCCATCATTTAGCACGAGCCCTTTGAAGTCCGTGAGAATTGTAAATTATGTGGATTTACTCCATTTTCATTTACGCCTGTTGAAAAAGCCAGTTTCTGCTAGGAACGTGCAGAGCACAGCTTGAGCACAGCATATTAACAGAAGCAGACTTGTGCATTAATATTACAGTAATTACTTGATGGCAGAATATTATTATTTTTTAACCAACCCATGCTGCTGGCTTATGCAAGAGAAGAGTTGCTTCAATAAAGAAGATGAGAATTGAGCAATGGATCTCCTGAATGCCAAACACACACCGTGCTGAGCTAAAGCCCCACAATCCTCTGGGCACAACTCTTCTTAATTTCTCCATTTCTCCCCACCTGTCCAAACCAGACCATTTTCTTCCCCAGTAGCTTAGTTTGGACATCATACCAAACCATTGGGCTAGAGTCAATGGGAGACCTTGTTGGGCAGCTGCTGAGGACCACGTCCTTTGGGGGCACACTGTTGATCCCCAGAGCCTCATTGACATCTTTGCCTGCTTACGTGTCTTCTCTGAGGTTACAAGCTGTGGCAAGAGCGAGGCACCAGAGCAGAAGTTTCCACTTGCTTCTGGGTGGTTGTGAGGACTGGGAAGAGAGAGAGAGAGGATCCATGGCCAGTGGACACCTCAGTGAGGAGGAGACGGACCCACTCAGGGAGGGGGACCCACTGAGGACATTTCTTGTATATAATGATGACATTATAGATCATTAAGTATGCTTTATGGGAATTACCGTATTTTTTGCACCATAACACTCACTTTTTTCCTCCTAAAAGGTAAGGGGAAATGTCTGTGCGTGTTATGGAGGGAATGCCTACGGGTGGCATGCCTACGGATTTTCCTCCTCTAAAAACTACGTGCGTGTTATGGTCGGGGGCGTGTTATAGAGCGAAAAATACGGTATGTGCCCTGCCCTGAGATCAAAGGAGATGGACTAGGTCAGGCATAGGGAAACTCCAACCCTCCAGATGTTTGGGACTACAATTCCCATAATCCCTGACCACTAGTCCTGTTAGCTAGGGATGATGGGAATTGTAGTTCCAAAACATCTGGAAGGCCGGAGTTTGCCTATGCTTGGACTAGGTTATATATAAACCACACTTACCCAAGGGAAGAGGTCTCAACCTCCATCCCCATTATCTCTAGGTAGGGCTGAGAATCTCCTTTGTCTGAAATGCTGTCAGTATAGACCAGGCATAGGCAAACTCGGCCCTCCAGCTGCTTTGGGACTACAACTCCCATCATCCCCAGCTAACAGGACCAGTGGTCAGGGATGATGGGAATTGTAGTCCCAAAACATCTAGAGAGCTGAGTTTGCCTATGCCTGGCATAGACAATGGTGAGCTAATGGTCTGACCTGGAACAAGGCAGCCTCTATTTCCCCTGAAACCTGGAGCCAGCACGGGCACTAAAAATTTAGAACCCTATCCATGATTCCATGGTTTGAGCTTTTAGATGTGCAGTGCTCAAACAATTGTTCTGAGCTGTTCACTGGCTTTCTCTTTCTGCTCCATCTCTGCAAATCCATTGCTTCCATCAAGTAATGCAGTAATTTATTGGTTTGGATGTCCCACTAGACTATATTTAGCTCAAACTACGGTTTGCAAACCCACTTCAGACGATGATTTGTGATTCTGGTATACTCCCCAATCACAAATCATGGTTTGTCAATTCAGATGCCAAGCCACAGTTCAGCTTCCTTAACTATGGTTTGGTGTGAAAGCTGGGTGTTATGCAATGTTTAGTTTTAAAACAATAAACCCTGTTTGCTGGCTTTCTGGCAGACATTTCTCCAAGTTGTTTCAAACCTTCCTCGGCATCATGAAGTATATTGGCCTGGCGATGGAATGGAATGGAATATTGCATAAATAATGATGATGAATAATTTCTGCCCTTCTTTCCACAATAGACAGAATGTGCCAACTTCATCAGAGTCCTACAGCCTTACAACAGGACCCATGTTTATGTCTGCGGTACGGGAGCTTTCCACCCGGTCTGTGGCTACATAGAGGTTGGAACACACAAAGAGGTAATTTAATCCACTCCCAAATGGTGCATGACAAGGAATGGCTCTAACTTTCCCTCGCATCCATCATTCCCTTGAAAATACAGTCTATGGCCATATAAAAAATGATCTGACAGCCCTTTATACAAACAATGGGGCAATGTTAAGTTTTTGCCAGTCGTGTAAGAACTCATGTTCTCACATTTTTGATGTGTGCATATTGCACGTTAGCAAACCTCTGCGCTCAAACAAGGTGATTAATATCATTCTGCACGGGCTGGCTTTTGCGGGTGATTAATGGTGCAACAGGCCCATTGAACCCAGATGGCTTGCGTGACCTTCCCCAGCAGGGAATGGTAGCCAGAGAAAGGAAGCACACTAGGCCCATTTAAATGGGCAGGCTAGAGAGCTGGATTTGGATGTTGGCAACTCCAGTCCAAATCCCTGCTAAAACATGTTTCTCTCTGGACCTCTCTCCATCCTTAGAGTGGAAGCCAGTCTTGTGTCGATTGTTCCATCTGGGAGTGGGAGTCTTGCTGCACTTTCGGGGCTCATTGCACTAGCCGCCACTGGCACAACTCTTTAGTTGAATGTGGCCCAGAGCTTGTTAGAGGATACATTGAGCATTCCAAAGTACGTTATACACGGATGCTACAGAAATTGAGCAATAATAATATTAAGTAAAGGAATGGCAAGGCATATCATGCCTCCATTAGGTGTGCTGGGGACTGAGAGTTCTCCGCCACTGTGCGGTTTTTGTTTTGAGATTGATTGCACATTTAATGAAACAGTGTTGTATTTTGTTTCTGCTTTCGCATCATGTTGCTAATGCTTAATTTTGAATGTTTACAGTCCTCCGCCTCGGGACCTTTAGCTGAAGG